GCTAGACTTTAGGAAGTGGAGCAGCACAGACCAAGAACTTTTCAGCACTCACATTTTTGCTATTCTGCTCATCCAATAAATATCAATTAGATCCACAATTATCCACATCCGGAAGGAACATGGCACAGAGAAAAAGCAGCAACGTGCTAAGCTCCAACTTAACCACAGTACAAATGTTCAAACAAACATCTACATTTGAAACATTATCCTAAATTTCCATTAATATATATAATCAGTTTTAAAAATTAAATTATAGAGTAAACAATTAAATGCCAACATAAACAATTAGAATGATCATGTATACAGCTACCCACATATTTGTAGGAATTTTTAGTATTGGTATGAAAATCATTTCAGACAAATAGAGGAACCTAGCAGGTGAACACACCCATGATAGTGAATGTTTCAAAACCATATAGAAACTTTGTATCAATTTCATTAGCAAAATTTCTTTTAAAATACTTAAAACTTAACTTTAGAACATTAACAAAAAAGTTTGTCAACTATTTTCCAAAAACTGAAATTTGATCAGACAAGAAAAATGAAATATACTGCATAAAATCATTTTATAGTAAATTAACAGGTGTCCAATACAGTTAAAAATATTGCACATTATAAAAAGAACCATTAAGATATACAAGTTTCCTGCCTCACAAACATTGGTTCATTAAAGAATTAAATCATAATACTAATCTTTACATCACAAGTAAATGGGTTCCTCAAGATAAGTTAAAAGTTGCAGTTGAAATATTTTAGATATTAGTTTCAATAGTTAAAATATTCAATAGAGGAGGAAAAATAAAATTTAAAAAAAAAAAAAATCAAAGTCACTTTCTCAATTATGCACAAAACATAGGAGCTTAAAATTATAAATAGTGCACAATCTCAGATCTACTATCAAAGAATGATCTCTTATGTTGTTTTCAATAAATACATAAAGATAAAAACTTAAATGAATAACAGAACTTTTTTTTTTTTTTTTTAAATGTCAAAATTTTGCAATAAATAATATTACTCTCCAAATAGAAAATTTAAAAATTTTTATAAGTTTTACAAAGACTAAATAAAAACATTATTTTTGCTTTTCTGACATAACACTACCCTTTAAGAGTCAAAGATAAATAGAATAAATAAATAAATATACCATAAAATGTTATGCATTAAATCACTGAAAGAGCCAGTGAGGAGTTAGATAAGAGATTTTATATATGAAAGAAGAAATTAAATTTGGTTTTAATATTTACAACTTCAAGATGCCTGATAAAATGTTCTTCGAGCATTTCTTTTCTAGTAGCTTCTGTTTAATGAGTGTATGTTCTGCTTTAGATATACAAACTTACTCAAATTCCTCAACCAGCTATAGGACTCTTAACTAGAACTGCTGGGTCTCAATTTTTGCTTGAAGGAACACAACAGTGGACTAAACTTTGTGTGCATATATATATATATATATATATATATATATATATATATATATATATATATATATATATATATATATTCGTGGAGAGAGTGAGATACAAACCAACCACTAACCAAACCCTTATTTCCTAGACAAACAAGCTTATTTTGTACCTAATGTACCAAGTGAAAAAGCATTTTGCACATTGAACCAGATTTCTCAGTATCATCTACTTTAATGTGAAACCCATAACTGGAATAATGGTAATAAAGAACATAGTGGGGGGGGGGGGCTCTTTTCATTATATTATCATCATTATTATTTGACATTTGTTAAATATTGATCTAAGAAATCATATTTTACTTATTCGAAACAAAAGTTGTCTGTACACAAACTTTGCTCCAAAATGTTGCAATTAATTCATACGTTTAACAATGACTTCAAAAATTGTTATGATCTACTAGTACAGCTGAGAAATCTCTTTAAAAAGATAAAACTGTCCAAAAGATGGTTTCATCTAACCAAATAGAATCTCAAATATTTTTGAAGTATCATAGCTGATGACTAAAACTTAACAACCTCAAATATGATAGAAGTTAGGTTCAGATGATCAAACACTACAGTTTGGAATAAAGTGTCCCAGTTAAATAAAAATCTGATAACTGCAAATATAACTACCACAAAGATGATTGGAAAATTTCAGTAAATTAATACAATAAAACTTTATATAATCATATACTTAGAACTTCTATTTATTTAGGAAAAAAAAACAATACTAAAAATAAAAATATAACTGAGGGTCATAGTTGAAAAGAAAAAGAAAGGGTCAATGACTTTTGTCAGAATATGAATTAAGTTTTAATGAGGAGGCAAGCAATTTTGAATTCATCTTTTTATAATCTATACCTGGATTTAAAAAAAAAAAAAAAAAGACTAAAAACCTGTTATAATTTATATGTACCTAATTTTGGCTACTGAGATAGACCACAACAAATGAAACAACAAAGGCCACAATAAGAGGGGCACAGAAAATTTGATGGTAGGATTAATACAGATAATAGAAGGCATAAATTATAATAATAAACTTCTCATGCTAAAATAAATTTAAAGAATGCAGAGAACTCCCTGAAAACCTACATAGAAAACATTACAAATAAAAACCTAAAAGATTCAATTTATTATGAATTTAATCAGAGATATTAGATTTTCATTAATATATAAGAGACTCGATCTATAATAAATTATGTACAAAGTAATTAAAACAAGCATATAAAGTTTGGCTACTAATTAATGAAACTGGGTTTATATCATATATATGAACCATGACACAGGTCAACAGGCAAGAATAAGCAACACTGAAAGTTGCAATCTGCTTACATCTTCAGTTTTGTTATTATGCATCACCTGAAACGCACATTTCCAAACAGTAAAAAGAAAGTAAAAAAAAATGAGCAATACATTAACATGAAATTAATCAGTAAAACCAAACAAGACAGCAAATGAAAGGATTTGGTAACCAGCTTGAAATGATCAATGACACAGAATGATTACAGAAAGTTTCCATCAATAAAGAGGCTGTTAAGTAAATTTTACATACAAATCTTAACATTAATTATCACCTTAAACATCTTAACCTTAAAAATTTATTGTGCTACTCAAACACTCATGTACCTGACATGCATTCTTCTTCAAACTAGTTTGCATAAAAAGATTTAGCAACTATTTTGTTCAATTTCACCTAAACTTTAAAAATTGATATGGTGTTCAATTTTTGAACTGATCATTTTTATGGTAAAAAAAACACTTAAGCAATGCATAATAATAAACTGAAAATGCAAGTAAATCTTCAGGTTTTGCTTATGGAAAACATTGATCAATGTATACCATGTGGTTCATGTATGAGCATTACGGTTAGACTTATATAAGCCCAGTATAATTTAATTTTATTATTATGGCTTTGTGAAGTATTACACTTCACAAAGCCATATAACGATTCAATAAAGAAACACAAGAGCCTCATAGTTTGTTTTTTTAATTACTAATACCAGTTGCTGGAATTCAAGGGTTTTATGACTATTAGTTAAATTAACTGAAATAAGTAGCAATTTTGTAGCACAGAGTAGGCACTTATTTCCATTATTTGGACTGTTCTCATCTTTATTGCCATATTCACGATGTTTCAGCCATTGTACACCAACCTTCTTCAGGTGATTGGAATTTCAAACTGAATGCTTTATTTCATCCACCTGGGTAGATTGTTCTGGTTCCATGCTTCTTCCATGTGTCTCAGTTATCTCCCTTTAACTCCACTCTCCTAGTTTTTGTTCACCACTAGAGTAGCAGCCAGGTAAAGTCACTTGATTTAAGGAGCAAGTCTACTATACCAAACCAAGACTTTGGAAGAACTTGAAGGGCAAATACTAGAAATCGTGTATTCCATAGCACAAGAGTTCCTGGTGAAATCGGTTGACATGATTCCTGGGTGGCTTGAGAAGCTGGTAGTGATATCTGGTGCCCATATCAAATTTTAAATAATTTCATGCTAAATACATTCCTCACATATCCATTTCTTGTAAAAATTATAGTTAATAAACAAATTATAAATATCTAAAATAGGGAGCTACTTTTCAATCTCCCTCTCTCTCTCTCTATATATATATATATATATATATATATATATATATATATATATATGTGTGTGTGTGTGAAAAAATTGACTATTGCTATAAATTGTGACCACAAGAGAAAGCCTGTTTTAAACATTTGAAAACCCATTACCAACAGTATTTATTTTACGTGGTCTTCAGATACTAGCTTTCAGAATGCTAAATTTAGAAACTGTCAAGAATTTATTCATTCAAACTTGACAATCATCTCTTGCATTTAAGCTTAATTTTTCAACCGGTTTAAAAAAAAAAACAAACAAAAAAAACACTGAAATACTTAAAAGACTAGACAGGATAATGAATGGATAATCTACATTGTGCTTTCACATCAAAAGTATCAATTCAATCAACAGTTCACTTCTGTGCATAAAGAGGTTGAGTTCCTTTGATCATGTTCTACTTCAATACAAATAGCAGAATTTGGAATGACAACTTCACATTATGAATATATCTAAGAAGCTCTCACTCTCTCTCACACATAAGAATCAAAGAATAATTTTAAAATGTGATTTCTGATAAACAAATCATGAGGGAAAGCCCTTCTATACAAAAAGTGTTTTTTTTTTCCTCTCTCTCAAACTTCTAAAGATAAATAAATCAACTACTATTCCTCTCTATTCCCATTTATTGTATAATCCGTTCAGAAGTAAAATATCAAAGAACAGTGTACTTTTATTTATAACAGTTTCTAATATCTAAAATGTATTTGTGTTAAAACAAGACAATTTTTAATAACTGAGGAGGATTAACTACATCAAGATTCTAGTCAATCAAATTCAAAAACTTTAGTCCAAGATATTCTCAAACAGAGACTATCTAATTCATTAAAATAAAAAATTACTTTTGTAAAATGTATGAAAAGAATGTGGAGAGCAAATTCCATGACTGAAATATTGAAAATCTTTTGGAAAGTATGCAAAATGATTACTCACCAACTTAATTGCAACATGTTCATTGTTGTAAAGATTTTTACCTGCAAATTAAAAAAAAAAAACAAATTATAAATAAAACCAATTCTTTAAGTGAAAAAAAAAAAAAAAAAAAGATATACAAGAGAAAAAAAAAGAAAGAAAAACTAATCTTCAAAGGGTACATATTAAATAAAGATTAGTAAATTGATTTAATTTTCAACCACATGACAAGAATAAATGAATTTTGACAAAGCTTAGCTTAGGCTGGCATTAAGGACACTATCGTAATACTAAATGAAAATCAAACTCAAATGCAATGGACAGTAAGATAGTTTCAAGTAGGCACACAATTTTTTATATATATATATATATATCTTATTATAAAACGCAGATTGTGTGTGTGTGTCTGTAACGTTTATATATTGGATCGGATTTCCTACATTTTTCAACAGATTTCAACAAAACTTCACAGGACTACATAAAATTACCTTGTGGTGGTTCTAACAGCGCCAAAAAATGGGAAAAATATAATTGTTTTTGCACAAAATCAATTTGAAAACACGATTAAGAGACATCGTGAAAATGGAAGGGGGACAACTCACATCAGGTTGTTTGTGTGTGTGTGGGTTAGTTTAAATATGGGAGCGGATTTCCTATATTTTTCAGCCAATAAAACAAAACTTCACTTTTTTTTTTGGCAGGTAGTGTTTCTTATTCTCTTGCACACTTTTTTCTTTATTTTTACATTCAGAATGCTTTAAAAATTCCATTTACAAGACAATTGTTTATAATAAAATTCTATTCAATCAGTAGACTTATAACGATTGAAAACAATGTTTTTGTTGAGTTTGACCAATACGTAAAAAAAAAAAAAAAAAAAAAAACTAATTAAGACATGCGTGTCCATCAACCTTAAACAATAATCTTTTTAATTTTATTTTTCAGTCTTTATGATGGTGGATACTTGATCTATCTCTTACTGTTATATCCCTGGGCAACGCCGGGCTCTACTGCTAGTATATATATGAAAAGGTTTTTTGAATTTGAAATAATTCATTATAATGTACATCAACCACTGAAGAGAAAGAGGTAAACTAAAATTAGAATAAGAGCTGCAGCTCATCTACTAAGGATGCTGAAAATAAATGGTTCAGGTTTTAAGTTAGAAAGCAAGCAGTAAAGCTCTCAGGATTTCCAAGTTCAAATATCAAATGACTACGGCAATCAATATATATATATATATATATATATATATATATAAGTAAAATATGGAAGCATAGCCATGTAGTTTTCTCTAAGTATACAACAGCCAGTAGCATGCAGAAGGGAGGCAGGATGTGCAACGACCCCAATCAAAGAGTGAAATAGAAATTTAGTTTATATTTAATTTAAATAAAGTGCTTATTTAATGTTTCATCTGTTTTTATATAATGTCTTCCTTTCTCACATTTCTCAATACTAGATTCTATAGGCCACACCTACTTAAGTCTTAGGGGTAAACAATCAAGTAGTTGACCTTCGGCATCACCAAACCTCTGCACATCACTAACAACAGCCAAATTTAGGTTGTATCTGCATGGGTGTTACATATCAGTCTATCAATAGATATACATATTCAATCCATTATTTTATTCAAATGTAAAACTCATTGAAATGTTATTATAAAAAAAAAACATTACACAATGGCAATTAACCCTGTAGTTATAAAATCCCTACCTTTAATGAATGAGGACAATTATTACATCAGTGGGGTAAAAAAGAAAAAGAAATCCTGAAGGTCAGAGTTTAACACAAATCTTAGTATAAAATTAATAAAACTGGTTGCTATACCCTATTCAACTAAACCAATTATGATAATTAGAAAAATACATTTGTAAAATCAAAATTCTTTGATAACAACTTTCAACACAAAACTTTATTATTACAAAAAACCATGAATCATAGTTTATGCTATATCAACAAAAAGGCATATAGCTCTCGCTCTCTTTAACACACATGCATACACAAAGAATCACTTTATAAGCAGTTGTTTGCTATTGATAATTACAGTTACAAAATTTATGCCCTGTAATCAGAGATTTAACTGTTACTTGCTTAGATGGAGTGTTTATAACTATTCACTTGCCATTAGTAATCTAACTACTTTCAGTTTCAATTGTTTTTGTACAGAATTACTGTAAAGTGTGTATTTTACACACTCCTTAAAAATGAAAATGCTTAAGTAAGAGAAAGCATATGACAAAGGAAGTGTATGATATATATATATATATATATATATATATATATATATATATATATATATATATATATATATATCAAATACATACAAAATTATGAAGCAGACTCCAAAACCATTCAAAACTTGTCCCATGTACAAGGATAAATATTTGTAAAAATGAATAAATGTACTCATTACATCCAGAAAGAAGAGTCATTTTCAATATTTACCAAGTGTTCAATTTGCTTCAAAAATAGGAAGCTTTTAATCTAGTTTGAAATTAATATACAGGTGTTAATTTGCAGCATTATAAATTGAGCAAGATACAGTTTTACTAATAATGTCTGTAGATTTACAATTCATTTTGAAAATAGTAAAGTTACCCAACTTAAAGAAAAAAAAAAAATTTAATGCATATCGAGATGATTTTGAACTTAATGCAGTCTAAGTTTATGCATAACATGATCATGAACATTACAATAATATGGAAATCAATATTTACTGCATGGGAGAGAGTGTCAGAAGAGTGAAGCTTTTGGTTAATTTTTATAACCGGTGCAATTACCTGATATTTTAATTATCAAGAAACGCACATAATCACCTGATATTAGTAAACCTTCTCTTTTAGTGCACACCCCTCAAAAAATAGAATTTAGAAAAAAAAAAAAAAAAAAATTAAAATAATAGTATATGAACCCATTCATTAGGTGCTAATTTTTTTCCAGAATTTATCATTACATGATACATCAACAGTAAGTAAGTATTATGCCTTGTGTATCACATTTAAATTTTTCACATATGCACAGAAATCAATGTCTAAATTGTTAAGAATTTTTCAAAACTATACTACATAACCTGATGATTCCAAATCTTTTTTTCTGTAATTTAGGTGGTCTTAAACCACACATTATCACCTGAATTATTATTTATTTAAGCATTCTTTAAGTTAACACATTCTGGCTACAATGCACCATATCAGCTACATTGAAATGTATTCTATTATAGAGATAATACAGTATAATGTGTTTTTGTTAGCCAAATAGTGAAGCATCCAGATTCATTAACAGATGTTAACAGTTTATATTTTATGAGTCATGATTAAAAGATTTACCCAAAGTATGTAGAGCCAGGAAACACACAATTTTGCATATATGTTTGGAAATACATGTTTGTATTTACACAGAATTCTAGCAGAAAATCAAAAAGCTGCATTCTTCAATAAAGTTTGTATTGAAATAAAAATGAAAGTAATCAAAATTAAAAAAAATAATTTATGCCAATATGAACCAATTATCTTTAATATTGATCTGTTAAGTGACCTTTTATATTTTTAATCAAACTCTTTAAATACTGTTATCCTCCATAACTGATGATTATAAAGTCTGAATTCAAGATGCCAGCCATTCAATTTTCAAATCAATGACAACCAAGTGGCAGTCTTAGTAAGCCCATTGCCAGTTGAAAGAACTTTGAAATAACATGGAAAAATACTAAAATGCAGAAAAGGGAGAGAGAGTAAAAGAGAAAAAAAATTAAATACAAAAATTAGAGTAATTCATGCAAGACAGAACATGAAATGTTTTCATTAAATAAAAAAAAATTGATACAACACACACACAATTTCTTATCTTTTATTATATATAATAATTTAAAAAAATTTTAAAGTGTATATGTATGCGTGTGTGTGTGTGTGTGTGTGTGTGTGTGTGAGAGATAGAGACAGATAATGACTTAAATACATTAGCAGCAACCAAATCAAGATAGATGGATTCTATTAATGGATCCATTCCAATAATTGTTTTTGTTTTTCACTGAATTTTAATTATTTGTACAACCACATGCATACAATCATCTTACTTCCTCTTGCCATTCTCATAGGTCTATTGATTCAACTTGTTACAGGCTGCAATCCCCTTTTCTAGATTAGACACTGAGCAAGTAAATACAGTATTAATAGGCATCTCAAACCAAAATTTTATTTTCAATATGCCTTTAAAAAAAAAAAAAAAAAAATAATACAGGCATAGAGATCTTGGTATTTCAATAAGCAACAAGGTTATGGCCATTCAAAGTTCATAACTTTTTCGTCATGTCTACTGAACAAAAAGCCAATTTTAACTACATATAACTGCAGATGCAGGCTTAAAAAAAGTGAAACATTATAAATGTAATGTCATATAGGTACTCTTAAAAAGTAAAAGATAATTCTAATGGAATCAATAGTTCTTTCATCAGACCAGCCTAAACAGTGAGAAAGTTTTGTGTTGAAAAAAATATAACACAGAAAGGCAAATTTGACTGACCATGTAGGTTTCATTTCAACAGTTAACACCTTGCAACTTCTTCCTATACTTCATAGCAGAACAGAGACGAAGGCATTTTTTTTTTAGTACATCAATAATAAAAAAATTAAAAAATTAAAAACTATATTCATACCACATAAAAACAGCCAGAAGCACAATTTGGAAGTAGGGCAAAAACAGGTCAAAAGTATACCATGCTGAACTTGCCACAAAAAAGTATCCATTGGGAGGTACATATCTGAAACTTTGAAATTTTACTAATTTTGGGATGAGGAATTCAACAAAAAACTCTTCACTGTAATATCAATACTTTTTTTAATATGTGCAAAGATTCTGATAAGCGCGCATACTGCATCCCTAACGCATAAAAATCTTAAAGGAGGCATTAATTTTCCCATCTGTGCAGCCCAGGAATGCAACTAAAGTTTCCTACAAAGAAACAACCCATAACAGTAAAAAAAATTTATTGTTGGTCAATACTAGGTTAACATCAATTTAATCTAAAATGTAACTAATATTATTTCTGTAATCAAACACAAAT